TTAAAACGGCAGCAGCTGGCGGCGGCCGCGGCGGCAGAAGAAGCGCGCGCCCATCACGAGGAAGAGCGCCCACAGGAAGGGCCTTCCCCCGACCCTGCCACAGAGAGGACGCCGGCACGCCGCGCTGCAAGACGCTCGCCCCACCCCGCTGAGCCCAAGACGAGGCCAGGACGAGGATGAAATGAGGTTGCACGAGGAGGGAGAGGAGGAGGAGGAGGAGGAGGAGGAGGAGGACGCCTCGGATGACCTGTCATGCAACCAACAACGGGAGCATGGGCCAAACATATGGGCCCAGCTCGTTTACCGTGGATTCCCAGGGGAAAAAGTGACGGGAAACAGAGCGGGCCAAGGAAACTCATCAAAACAGTTTGAGCTGCTGGCCATTCTTGGGGTTCTTACCCGCCTTGATGGCCTTAGTAGCATGCCTCTGCTTATACAGTGTGGGGGGTGCTGAGAAGGACCCAGACAGCAGCCTCCAAGCTTCGAGTGCCCCGCACGCCCAGCATTAAGCAGGTGCGACCCACACAACGTGCATGCCATAGCACCAAGATTCGAGAGAATTCGGTGACCATCTAACTCTACAATATCATCTGAAACAGGCAGCTGAGCCCCCGACGGACCAGGAAGCACAGGGTCTTCGGGCGGGCTGAGCTCCTGCGCCAAACCTAGCGCAACGTCGACCGCCTCGCTCCTGCACGGCCGTGCACGCTGCAATACGACGTCGTTGCGGGCCTGGAGCTTCTGTCGCTCCGTGGGCTCACACTTAGCATAATTACTCGTCCCCGCCACGAGTTTCAACAAACTGGCTGGGGTCCGAGCCGTGGCCAAACAGATCTTGCACTGCCAGACCCCAGGGCTACGGACGACCACCTCGTGCACACGCAATCCTACCTGCTGTGCAGGAATCGGGGGGCCACCTAACTTGAGCCTCTCGGGTCTACAGCTGGTGGAGTCCCTGGTGATGAGCTTTGCTGCCGCCCAGGAGAAGAACTTTGCATTCAACTTCTCTTGACTCAGCCTGGCTTCGAACATTTTGACCGTCGATTTGTGTACTGCATGCATGTTGGCCCCCTCTCTAGCGAAAAAGTCCGCCCACATGTTTCCGAGCAGAAATTCGAATGGGAGGGTGTCGAAGTGTACCTCCAGGTAACTCTCGATCGTAATGTGCGCGGGCGTCCAGCAAGCTCTGGGCCGACGCTTGTCGTCAGCAGCATGAAAGATGTGCCTCCAGATGTCCGCGTATGTCGAACTCGCACCTCCCTGGTCGTGGTGCCAGGAATTCACTTCAGCTGCCAGGCTCTGGAGATCTGTCACCAGTAGGTCCACAGCTGGTAAAAGCCTGAGTGCCATGAGGAAAGCCATTCGTTCCGATCTTCCGACCGTCTGGATCGGACCCTCAAGGGGCCCATAAGCAGCACGAATAGGCAGCCCGTTGTCCCCCATGACGACGAACGACCACCCACATCGACGAATCTCAGGCCACGCTGGGGCCAGCCCCGAACCATCTGAGAACACCATTGAGCTCCAGGACCTTCTGTCAGACCCCCAGTCACCCCAGCAGACGTACTGCAACTTGGACTCCACATAACGTGGGATGAGAGGGCTCACAGGTATGCCTACTGCCGTGGCAAAACAGTCCCAGTCGGGCTCTCCAAGGGCCTTTTGTCCGAGCTCCCTTAGCATATCATATGTGTACTGCAGATCAGTATTCCAGTCGAGATCGGGCTCCTCAGGCGAGTCGTCATAAAAACTAGGACAGCAAAGGAACTCGTGTCCAATGGTCGATTGCTCCGCTGCGCAGTAGATGCAAGCAGGGGAGATCGGGTACCCTTTGGCAGCCAGTCTGGAACGTGACCAAATAGAGTCAGACCACAGTGCACGCAGCGCGCCTGCAAATCGCGGGTTCGTGACCACTGCCTTCTTAGCTCCAACACATCTTCTCATTGCTCTCATCCATATGACCTCATCCCCATAGCAAGCCTCCTTGTGATGTGTAAGTATGCGCATGCCTTGCCAGCGCTCGATGCCTTGCCTGACCAACTCCAGCACATCCTTGGGACAGAGCTGAAGGAGGTCAAAAGTGTGACCTAGGTCGCTGTAGATCCCCGTGGCGGAATACATGCCCCATCCTATTCTCCTCAAAGACATCCATACAACGGCAATGGGACCCCTTGCAGAGGTCCAAGTAGCCTTCTTCTTGAGCCCCTCATCAACCTTCATCCAAGCCCGCTGTAGTCTCCCAAACGAAGCTGCAGTAGGCCTTCAGGGGGTCCATAGTGGCATTGTATATTGGGTCGTACTTGGCGTCAGCCTGCGTAGCCAGATATACAGTGAGAGAGGAAACTGCCGTCGAACGGCCACATAACATGCCAGCAACAGAGCGTAAACGAGTAAGCTCTTGGTCACTGACTCCTGACACAGTCGCGCCATGCGCAGCAGCAGGAAGGAGTCCTGTTCTCCAGATCGCGGTGACTCTGTTGCCAGCCGCCTTCTGGAGCATAATCAGCCTTGGGAGCCTGTCCTGCAAGCCCTCCATCCTAGCCTTAGCTTGTTTTCTCACAGGAACTGGCCCACTAAGTTCATGCCCTAGATTTCGGACCCACTTCTTGCCTTTGAGGTTGATCCTGGAGGCCAACTTGCGGAACCCATGGTGCCCCTTCCTAGTGTTAGAGACCCAGCCCGATTTCTTGACCTGCAGCAGGAGCCCCAACTTGGCCGAATCCTTGACGAAGCTCTGGGTCCCCAAGAACAACTCAGCCGAATAAGTCCCCGACGGCCCAACCCATTGGAACGTGCTGTCATCCACGAGCGCTCTCGGGGTCACGTTGGGGGCTATCTGGTGCACCTTCATGAGGGCCCTGTAGGTGAGGATGGCGAGGAGGGTGGTGGCGTGGGTGCAGCCCGCGAGGATGCCCTGGTATACCACAACCTGCTTGCTCCAACATCCAAAAGCCTTTATTACCCTTGGCTGGGAATACGAATTGATTGGCATCCATAACAAACGTAGCGGGAACCCCAGGCACCTGGCTTCATCTACAAATGCAGGGAACAGCACCGTCTCGAAACATTTCCACATATCGAGAAAAACCGTGACTGAACTCTCTCCCAGAGAAGCAGCAATCTCCGCTTCCAGGTTGTGCGCAAATGCAGAGTAACTGGAAGAGTGTCCCCGCCTATTGCCCCAAATGAACGGGCTCCCATGCTGGACAATCCATGTTCTTGAAATCGGGCGCCTTGCGCGCGCCCACAAACGTACTAAGCTCTCTACTAGAGTGATCAGCCGCGTGCCTCCATCGGGCTCGGCAAGCCTAACCATCTCATTGACTACTCTCTGTGTCGGCCAGTACAGCATCCGCTCGCATGTGTGGTACAGTGTGCAGAGCGCCAACAAACCAGCGTCAGAGAGGAAGAAGAAGGCACGAGGATGCAGCCTCGTCGGCCCAGTGGCAGTCGTCCACTTGAACGTGAGGGCCGCCTTGGACAGGTCTTCAGGCCGAAGAGGAGGAAGATTATCCCATGAATGCGCATCACTAGGCAGTACTGGCCACCCCTGACCGTGACAAGACCATACCTCATGCCAGACATTCATTTCCCTGTCGGCCATCTGGCACGGCTGCATTCTGTCGGTGTGCGCCACTGCTGCCTCCAGCGCCTTGACCTTGGACGTGCGATGCGCAGGGCCTGCACCTTTCTTGAATGCCGTGTCGATCCAAGACTTCCAGCTAGCCTCCACCTTCTTTTTATGCACTTGGTGGAGTTCATCTGCATGCTCGACGATACGGTAGATCTGCTGCTCGAAGTCGTCCCTGCCTAGCAAGGCTATGCCATCTAGGAAGGAGTTCTGAGTCTCCTCATCCAGGTGATTCATCATGTGGCACTGCTGCCCCACTATCTTGGGCAAGAAGCGATCTGTGTCCACCAGCGAACGAGCCAATCTATCAATGGGATTCTGACTCGCTGATACTCGCCGCTTCCTGGAATGCGTTCTGCCAGGATTCCTTGGATCCTCGCGTGGCATCGAGGCTGACGCAGTAGCCGCGGTCGCCGAAGTAGTACCCGTAGGCCCTCTACCAGGGGCAGAGACAGCACAGGCCGAAGACGCAGATCGCGGCGCCACCGACCCTCCAGCGATTCCACCGCACGGGGTCACTGAGCTGAGAGCCGCGGGCATGCACGGATCAGCATAGGACGCGCACCGCGGGGCAGTCTCGTCCTTCATAGGGCGTAGGCGGCATGACCCACTCGTAGATGCCCTCTGTGAACTCGAAGAGACAGGCGCTTGTATGTCATGTATGTCACCTGCTACACGTTGTATGCAAGGTATGGGTACACCGTCGCTCGCCTTCGAACTGTTCCTTCTGCTGGTGACCGTCGTCCAGTTTTCATCTGCTTCGTCTCTCATGGGATCTGCGGCAGCAGGTACCATGGAAGGCTGTCGGCTGGACCAGGGCGAACTGTAGTCAGGAAGGTGGAACTCACCCGCCCGCCCATCATCACGCACAGCTTCCTGCGCCAACTTGATCCAGAAGGCTCGCACTCTCATAAGATGTTTCGCCCATCTGGCCGCAGCCTGCCAAGCTAAGGCCGTCGGCCCAAGAGCTCCCGCCTCCCTCTTGGGGGTCCAGTGTGCTTCAACAAACTTGGTGTCTCTCGGGCCCGCTCTGCCCCTGAATGGAGCCGCATCATCGTCGACCACGTCGTATCTGTTGAGAATCTCAAATTCCACTCCAGTAATGACTGCGCCCCAAGCCATCCTTAGCGTGTCGTCGTCATGAGCACGTAGAATGGTGTCCATCACTTGATCCCAATTCATAGGAAATCGCGAACAACCTTGCTTGGGTAGCTTTGGTAGCTGATTGGGCTCAACAGGGACCCTCAGCCAGATTTGCTTGCGCACTGCTCGAATCGAAAGAGCCACAGGAGCACGCGTGGGCAGCCCTGCTGCAGCCAACGCATCTGGTGGCTCAATGATGGCAGCCAGATTGGAGTGGACCAGGAAATAATCATAAATCTTGCCCTCGACGGAAATGGTGGTGCGACAGGTGACTTGCGTAGGTACCATCATCAACGCATTAGTCTGCG